TTTGTTTGAAAATGAAACTTTACATGAAAATATGTTATTTGATAGTTTTTATTTTATATAAGTTAGTTTTATATATATATATAATTATATTTAATTTTTTAAAAATATGATAAAAGTAAAATATATTAATTAAATTTGAAAAAAGCCGAGATATGTTTTAGAATTGCGATATTTTGTTATCTGAATTGTTATTTTATAATTCCATTATATTGTTTTTCAATCTTATCATTAAGTATCGACAAAATTATTAACTTTAGGGACTATAGTATTATATAATATTATAATATTAAGGGATTAGATTAAAATACATAAGATTTTAAATATTAATAATATATTATATTTACAACATTTTACATACATTAGATTTTAAAAATTTCATATATTTAAAATAATCTATATATAGAATGCTAATGTATTCATGGTATAATTTTGAAGAATCAATTCTAAATATTAAAAAATACAAATACAAAAATTGATGTATAAAAATATCGATTAAGACTTATTTATTAGGTTGCAAGCAATTTCAAAGTTTGCTTTGAATGAAGCGAGAATGAACAGAATGTGTACCAGTGTAATAAAAACAGAACAGTTTCATTCTTTTTTTATCTTGCTTTATCAAATGTAAAGTTAAATTGTTTATATCTTAATAAATAAAAAAATATTAACAGATATGTTTATATACGAACTTTTATATTCTACTTGATTTCTAGAATCGATTCTTCAAAGTGTCTCATGAATATATTAACATTCTATAAATCTAGAAAATTGATTTATGTCTAATACATACATATTACATACTTTCTATATTGTTACATTGAATTTGTTAGTAAATATTTGTTTGTTTTTTAATTCTTAGTATTAATTTCTTAAATTTTATTACAATATTTTTCAGCTCATGGTTATGTGCATATGTTTTATCAAATTCTTTATTCTATTACGTGTATAGATCCTTTATATAATAAGAATTATTAAAAATACATAACAATAAAGAAATGAATAAAAATAACAATATATAATAAATGAATATTTTTATTTAATAGTATGGAATAGTGCAAAATCCTTGAATACTATTAGTATTTTAATGATAAATAGAATAACAATAAATATCAAGGATTTTATCATATGAGTATATTTTTTTATTATAAAATTTTAATTTTTTAAAGCATTCTATTGAGCTTTTTTCCTTTATAAATATAAATTAATACTAAGAAAAGATATTTAATATAAGATCATTCAAAACATACATCGTCATACAGATTTGAGGTACTTACATATATTATTTCGAAGTTTATAGATTTTTTAAAATTAATTATTAACATTTATAAAAGTTATAAAATTTTATTATTTAAATTTTATATTAACAAGAAAAATTTAATTATGATAAAATTATTGTTTTTTATTATTCGATCATTCATCGCAAATTAAATCATGAGTATAAAAAGCATAACTTTTTTGTAACTGGCCTCTATTTATAACTGTATATTTTAT